CTCAGTCTCCACTGTAGATCTGTTCTCTAGGTCGCTAACCTGCTGGGTCAGGCAGTTTCCACCTGCCCTTCTCTTACCTTCTGGTCTCTCAGGGAAGAAAAGTGCTTCTCTTTCAGGCCCAGAATTCAACATCTGGATATGGCCTTCCTGTGCCTTCCTCCTTTTCCCTTCCTATAAGTCTGTGAGATCAGCAAATTATCCAGTCACCCAAAGAATTTCATTAGGCAAATGTCAAGGTTCCGTCTTTTACCATATGGCAAGTGTCATCCTTTCTAGTGGATCTTAATTTCATCCTAATTCATTGTCCCGTTATAAATACACACCTATTTGTCCACAATGTGTTCCCATTTTGTTTAAAATAATCACTGAGCCCATGTTTTAGTTAGTTTCTTACCCTATTCCTACAAATAGGTAAAAGGCCAGAAAAATCCAATAGCATGTTTTAGAAGACTACCTCACATCTGCTTTCCCATCTGAGAAGCAAAAGATTATATCCTTACCATCTCTCAAAGCCCATTCCCAGTCCCAACCCCTGCCTCTTCATACAGAGTTTTCCTTAATTTCTTTCCTTCCCTGAGAGATGCCTCTGGCTGAAAACTCATTTGCAGACCAGAGGTACTTGACACACTCGGAACCCAAAGAATGTTCATGCCATCCTGCCTCCAGCTACCCACTCCTCTCTCTACCCCAGGTCCTCTCTGAGCCCCCTCCTCAGGTACTGATCTTGCATAATCCTAATCATTACGAATTTATAGCATCAAAAAACCTTAACCATATAGTAACAATAACATATACAATAAGAGGAGGTTGATCACTCACACATGCTCTTACAGGAGAACAGGCAACTCTCTCCCTGGTAAGAAAAACATGGGTCTCCACCCCACCAAAAAAAAAAAAAAAAAATCCCAGGATGCCCCAGAATTCAGTTTCTTTTCTTCATGACGTGTTGTAAAGCACGTCAGCTGCTCCTTGTTGCTGTGCAGATCACCCAACATCGGGTCACTGAGAGAGACGGCAGCGCTCTGCTCGCACAGCTGATAGGATTAGGAGCTGGTGCTTTGTCAGCCCTGAGTCCAAGAAAGCCCCAGCACACGCAGGTGAGGTGCAAGGAAGAGTGGATGTGGAAGACTGTGGGGTGTTTGGATTGTATGGTACACACATTTTCTCTTTGGCAGTGAATTTGTATTGTCTTTTCTGTGAAGTTTATACTGTGTGTGTGTGTGGGGGGGGGTCCTGTCAATAAAAACCTGTCTTTCATCACTCTTCTAGTTTCAGGCATTGGTCACAAGCACCTCACTGGATTTGTGTGAGGCTCAAATAAGATTACATATGTGAAAGAGCTCTGAAAATTTAAAGTTTTGTGCATATGAAATTTTACAGAAAGAATTAAATAATTTATCCTATATTTGGGTCCTAATTAGATAAAGACATTTTTTACCCCACCCCCAATCTGCAATATTCTTTCTCCTCTGTTTCTTACCAGGCCTAGATAGGTATGTTAACTATAATCTCTAAGGGTTCCATCTTCTTCAAGTAGTGGGTATTTTCTAAAATCCAGCAATTCATTTGTTTTTCAAGGAAAAGCCATGAGATTGCAAAACAATATAATATAATAAGTATTTAAGTAGAACATGGATGCATAAGAATATGATAAAGCAGATGACAGATGAATATATTCTGCTGGATTAAATTATATGTCTTTGATGGTATAATCCAAATGTTATATTTCTCCAAATGACAGGAGAAATCCTGGAATGAAGCTAAAGGCAGAAAAGATATTGTCATTTGTAAAACTTGCCTCTTAAAACAACAGAAAAACAGGCTTGGGTTCCAAAAGTAGAGAGCTAAGAGGCATCTGAACACTAAACCATCAGCTTTTCCCTTGGCAAGGTTGCTATGGTGACAACAGGGCTACTGCACAGCTTCTCAGTGCCTGCATTTCTGCAGTAAAAGCTTTCATTGAACACATGTTGGATTTTTAGGCACACACCCCATCATCAAAGACAAAAACATATTGGAGTCAGCTTTTTCCAAGTCATGTGCTAATAGAAGTTGTATCTATGTTCTTTATCCTGTCCCTATAGGCTCCTTAATGTAGTTATGGGATTTACTTGTTCATGCATTCATTAGACAGTTACATTGGTGCCTACTGTGTGTCAGGAATTGTGCTAGGCATTGGCTACAATCCCTTGGTGATAACAAACAATTAAATGGGGAGTTCTGACATACAATCATAATGGCTCACCTAGGGGTAAATGCAGGGGTCCTGGAAGTAGTAGGGAAGGTTTCTTGGGAGAAGTTGTCTAAAATGAAACTTAGTGTATCCTTAGGAAGAGGAGAATGGGTGGAGAGGATACAAGTAATGCTCTAGACAGAGACCCCAGCTTGTGCAGCAGTGTAGAGGAAAAAGAGCAGGAAATCTCCAGGGAACAGAAGTGCTGCAATTTTAGCAAATCCATTTGTAACTGGAGAGAGAGCCCCAGAGCTTGATGGGGTGGCTGGAGAGGGAGGATCCCTACAAGAGAAAAGACAAGAAATGAGATTGGAGAGGTAAATAGAGCAGCCAGATCCTGAAAGTTCTATGTGCCATATAAGGAAGTTTGAATATTTCCTAGAGATCAACAGGGAGGTAATTAATAAGTCTTTTGTTTGTTTCTTTTGTGTTATTGTTGGTACTGGGGATTGAATTCACCACTGAACCACATCCCCAGCCCAATTTTGTATTTTATTTGGAGACAGGGTCTCACCAAGTTGCTTAGTGCCTCACTTTTGCTGAGGTTGGCTTTGAACTCGTGATTTTCCTGCCTCAGCCTCCTGTAAGCCCCTGGGATTACAGGCATGTGCCACTGCGCATGCCCAGCCCATTCATGAGTTTTAGTGGAGAAGCATGATTTGATTTAGCCTTTCATGAAAGCCTTGTGGAAATATTGAAAGACAAATTGGCAAGAAAGGAATAAGAAGTAAAACTGGAAGAAAGACAACTTTAAATAGATTCCTGTTGAAATGGTGTAGAGTGATTATGGTTTAAACTCTAAATGAAAATAATGGAGATAACAGTGAACATAAGTGATCTGATTCAAGCTTTTTAATACCAGGGTACCATGGAGATCACTTGGTAGATTATGCCATGTGTGGGTAGGGCAAAATGGAAGAAGTCAAGAATCACTCTGAGGTTCTGACTTGAACAACTCAATGGAGGATGTTTCTTTTATTGGGTTCCCAAACTCAACACTCAGTTTTTGGTAGGGAACTCATCTTATGACTTAATTTCTATATTACTGTAATATGACCCAGCCTCATAATTTTAGAAATAACAGACTGTATGAATCATCTTGAACTATCACTTTCCTGAGGCCCTTATTTGAGATAGCTATGGGTGTAGGAAAAATGAATTAATTACCTATTCACCCCAAATAAAGAATTCTAAGATTTCTAACCCTGCTGCTTAAGAGACTTAGTAGATTGAAAAGGAATGAGAATGTATGGAATAAAATCTCTTTGGGGGTTACAGGAGGAAGGTAAATTAATTTCAATAATCCTGTAACCTTGGGATCTTTCTGTACTTACAACATGCATCCCAAGGTTTGAGAGCTGAAGACTCAGGAGAAATGCTGTTTGGAGGGCAGATAAATGAGGATGATGGAGGTTCAAATACAATTTCCAGCAATCATAGTTCTTCCAACTAGTATGTAGGGAGCAGACTGTTCACCCAACATTTAGAATTTATTTATTTAGAATTTTCTCCAAAATTGAGTAAAATATATGTAAGTCATTAGGTTGAATTCCATCACCAGGTAAGATTTAATAATACCAAGTGTAATAAATCAAAATATGTACCTTGATTCTACATCCTTAGATGGGTTTTTGAGTTTTTTTAAACAAATATATCTGCATCACAAATACTTTTTCTGCCTGTCACTAAAAGGCATCAGCAAATATTGACTGGACCACCTGGACCTGACCTAACCGCCCTTTGGCTAGTTCTGCTCAATCATCAGAATACAATTTTTTTTTCTCATATAATCTTCAAAGCTCCCCTTAAGGTGGGTGTTATCATTATGCTCCAATTTTACAAGGAAAAAGAAAGTTCACGGGGGTCAAGAACGCTAGGCATGAAGGACTGTCAGCCTGAAGGGATTGGGGTGCTGGCATGAACCCGGTTTTCTGAGTTCAAGTGCAGAGTTGTCCCCACAGCAGTGTGCCTGGACAGCTTGGGGCAGAACTGTCGGGTCATCCGCCTGGCTTCCCTAAGCGCCAGGAGCCTGCCTTCTTGTTTTCCTGCGGTGCTGGGCTGCGCTGCCAACCCAAGGCCCTTCTGACGCAAACCCCCAAGGAGATTTCAGCCTTTGAAATCCAGGAACCGTGATGCTGTGCCAGTCCTGCAGCATTGGCTCGGCAGGGGTTCTGGAGAAGGGGGACCCGCCGCGCCATCCTCGGGTGAGGTAACTGTAGGGAGCTGGACGTTGACTTAAAACCCAGAGGCCAAGCAAGGATCACTAGGGGAAAACTTTCCCTTTCCCCGTTTTGGCTCTCGGTGATGTGGCAGCTTTTCTCAGCTTTTCCACCCAACGAACTCCACTATCAAACCCGAACCCAGGTGCTTAAAAAAGAGGTAGGGGGTGAGGGCACCTCTGGGCTGGAGATGCTGCTAGCCTCGGCCAGCCTGCAGCGGGTCACGCTCAGCAGGGGAGGGGGCGCCCGGCACTGGGTTTGGGGTCGTGCCAGCAGCGATACCCCGAGGGAGTGCGCGGAGGCACGGACCGGCTGCTCGGGCCAGCAGGTGAGGGAGGTGGCCGGG